GCAGCAGCAGCAGATGGAGACAACCAATGAGAGCGCCAGCACCACGCAGGAGGAACCGGCGCAAACCAACCTCCGTGAATTGTTGGAGTATGGTCGAGCCTTACGCGTCCTGGCACAAGATCTCAGAGCTGGCGGGCTGATTAGCTTCTCACAACTGTCCCTCATGGAGGTAGGTGGACTCACATGCTTATTTTGGTCTTGCACGAAATAGGCCATTGAACAGTAACAAAAAAGGATCAGAAGCATGGCAGTTAACCGACCGTTCAGAAGTTGAAAGGTTCATGCAATCACCGACCCCAGACGTATTCAAATGTAAAACAAACATCCGATACGTAGTAATTAAGTAAATAATCAAAAGCTTGACAAAATCGGATGATCTGTAGTTCAGATAGACACAAGTGACCTGTAAAACGTCTTCGCTGATCATTGTTGTCGACTGCTCTGAATTTACTGGATCTCAGACATCCGTCGTCATTATCCTGTTTCAATTTGACCCAATTGTTAAAAAAACTCGTGGCGTTCGGCGGGATTTGAACCCGCATAGTAGGGAAGGCATTAACGCGAAGCCAATGCTCTCCCAGTTCAGCTACAAACGCCACGCCTTGCGCCGTGAATTTAATCACACTTGGATTAATTTTATCCTGTTTACTATAAATGGCGCCTTGTTGCGTCATCGTCCTTAGAAATCAACTAAAAAGGGGAACCAGTGTTGAGTCAGCATGTGCTTCCCGTTGGTAAGGTGGACATTTGATACACTTCAGTGCGTATTACAGAACAGGGCATCACCCGGGTAAACCGTGTATATGCAATGTTTGCACGTGCACAATTATATAAGTGCCGTTTTTACTTGTGCTCTCCCTTGCCCATCTGTCCAAATATCCGTTACAACTTGTCTCCCACTCACGAACACAAGCTATTTTACCTTCTGTCTGTCATTAAATGTGTGCGCCGCAGAGCTGATTTCCCCATCAACGCCTGGAGCTGCTGCCTAAAACGGATATCCGTCGTTTTTCCCGTATACTATGCTAATCACTCTCTCTCCTCGTTGGCATGTTAGTTTTGTGTAAAGGTGTGTGAGTATCCAGCACACTTAGAGCGAGGTTTTCGAGACTGGACTTCCCCTGAGTTCGGACTGGTTTTGTCACGAGGAATTTTTTCCGACTGCGGACTAAGCTATACCCCCGAAATTAGTGCCTGCAGCGCCATTGGAAAACACGCGGGCAACGTCGAGCGACTCGCAAGTTGTTTAGCACAACCGTAGCAAATGCACGAGAAACGCACTCGGACCATTTCCTCGTACCTGCGCTGAGATAATGAGATAACAATATTAGACTTTTTTACGCATTCTAGGGTTTTACCTGACAGCAAATCAACCATCTACATTGGTGTGGAAGATGAGTCACCTGCGCGTCTTTCAAGCGAGTTCGCACTGTCGTAGTCATTATGGCTAATTATTTCTAGCAGTGGAGGCGTAGGTAGGTGGTATACTGACAGTGCAGGGTCGTCTGGCATCTTACCTAGGAAGTTTTGAAGTCTCTCGTGGGGAATTTTCTAAAACAGCCATGAGCCGTTCCTTTTTCTAGAGAGTACCCCCGCACAGGGGCATCTTTTCAAACGGCAGTCGAAGTGTTAATGAAGGCATCGCTCTGAGAGCTTTTGTTTCACAAGTTAGATTTTGAGCCGAAAGACAGGCAGCAGACAAGTATTCAATCCCAGAATGATTGCTCCGGGTCTGACGATTCGCCCAGTTTCCAGAAAGTACTGAAAACTGTCGTGGGTATCTTACTTCCGCTTGTCGGCGGGGGCCCTAGCTTCACTAAAAGGCCTTTAGTAAAGTGACTTGCTAGCTCTCATACTACATCCGTATGAAGGCGAGCAGCAAACTGTTTAAGACGAGGACCTATGGAGTTTATACTTTCCGAACACTCGCCAGCACGAAGCGGATGCTGATGCGTTTACTCCGGAACTACCGACGACTTCACAAGTTTATTACCGGTTCCTAAAAGTACTCGTACGTGCGAGCTGTCGTAGTTGGGTATTGAGAAGGTGGACTGCTTTTCAGCGGAGATGAAGCTCGGCGTTTGGTGGAAGATTACAGGGAGTCGTTAATTTGCATTTTAATTCAATCGATCATGCTACCAATACAAGCGAAAATGTGAGTCCCAGGAAGTACTTGAGAAGAAGCCGATGTAATCGCTGGGACAACAATCGTTTTCACCGGACGTTTCATAATCCCTCGCGGATCCGTCAACAGAGCCAATAGCAGAAATGGGTACTTCATACACAGGGAGTGGCAGTATTTATAAAACACTGTCGCTATGCTACTGCATACTGAGGACAATTAAAGGTGCCCCTTTTGGGGGTAGTTGCCAGCTTGTGCGCTAATTGCTTGATGTTCGGCATGTGTGTCATGGCCTGCTGAACTGTTATCATTGGGCGTGTTGATGGCTCGGCCACCTGGTTCCCTGACGCTAGCGTTGGGCGACGCTTTTGCCTGTGCGTTACTGGAGTGGCTTTGGCGAAACTGACCCTCAGCACCGGATATGTATTAGGCAGGTCGTTGCACTTGTCGGTAGACTAGGGGCCCCGTGAACCATGACTCCAGTGACTCGCTAGACGTTCGGTCCATCAAATTTGAATGTGTGGCCAGTTCTAGTTGAATGAGCCGCAACTTTAAAATTGGCAGCATTATCTCGCACCGCTGCCGCGTGTTCGGCAATTCACCTCTTCTGAAGTCTTCCAGTTTCTCCGACGTAGTTGCTCTGTCCGCACCTGCATCAGATACCATAGAAAACTCCTTATGTTTCTTGCCCTGACAGTGGGTCTTTTGGCTTAATCATTTGACGCCTTGTGATTGCTTCCTTCCTGTATGCGACTCCAAGAGGTGCGAGAAGGCGACCGACGACCTCCGAGACATATTTGTTGTACGGAATCCCCCGCTCAAATTTGGTTGTTGTGCGATTTTCACGCTCGTCTCGTTTGCACATGCATTGGTTGACGTACACGCGGGCAACTATCATCGATAAAGCGGAGCCGTTAATTGTCATAAGTATGCAATAACAGTACCCTATGAATACTGCAACTTTTTGTGTATGAATTACCTATTTCTGCTATTACCTCTGATCGGCGACGGATTTCGAAATGTTAGGTAAATAAAGTTCTTGCCCCAGAGCTCACATCAGCTTCCTTTCAATTGATCATACTATTACTGCTGATGCTGCTAATGTGAACATTTCTCACCGGAGCGCAGAAGCCATAGTCAACTGGTAGTACGACAGCAGACTGGGACGTACAGTTGATTGTCAAGTTGATAAAATGGCGTGGTATAGATAAGAAAATTCATACGACCCATATCTGCTTCTGCTTCCTGCTTATGTCTCTGATGATGAATACGTGACGTATCTCGAAACATCAGGCGAATAAAAGTGTTGTCCCAAGAATCGGGTCGTGTTCTTCTCAAGAAATTTCATGTTGCGCGGAACCAGCGCAAGCGTATTCCCAAAGTTTTACAGCGGGAAATTACGTACTTTAAGTAAAAAAAGGCATAGCCTTGTTGATAAATTACTATTTACCAACATAAAAATTGTTACTTTTCAATGCAAACTCGAAGTTCAGATAATGGTTATATGACAGGTCACTAACCTAATGCTAGATATAAATGTGTACAAGACAGGAGAGTGCCAAAAGACAGTAAATTAATACAGAATGAGTACAAATACAAAATGTTGATACTTTGTGAACTGTCCATGAACATTTTAAACGGCATTAAGACCGTCAGACATAGAGGTGACCCGTTTTGTTCAGTTTAATTGTTCAGCACAAAGTTTTGCGTGGAGAGAATGTTGTTAGTTTTGTGTCAATTTCTTTTGATGACTACAAACAGATTTTCTATAGGAGTACGATCCGGGCTGTTGGCAGTGGTAAAAATAGACTGAAGGCCACACGCTGAGAGGCTGCCTGTTGTCAAAAAAGTTTGATTACAGTCGTGCATACTATCTAATTCATACCATCTTGTGTACATTGAGATAAATTTCCTTCCATCACGTTTCTTTGTAATCTTTTAGAGAGTTCGATTGCTACTGGGTTTCAGATTTTTCTTGAAATGCTGATTTACACTGCGATTGTAACTGTTTTCCGTCGATTGTCCACAAATACAGACTCTGTTCTACGTGCTTACCAAAACCTTCGAAATAAGCTATTTCTCAAAAAATTTACGCAAGTGGTGCGTTTTTGGACAATCTTATTTATGCAGCTGTCTGTTTGGGTCAACTGATTGCCAAGGAAAATGAACGTCCTTAATAAAAGTGGCAGATCAATATGCCTAAGGTCGATTTAAAAACTTTCCATAACAAGTTATCTTTTTAAAAGCGCTTTGTTTAGCTAATTCGACGTCGAATATCAGTGTACCTTACCATTTTTGAAGATTAAGTCAAGATCAAAATGGGAAATTTTGACTAGTGTTTTGACTTCCCTGAAAATTGAGGATAAGCCTTCTACTGAACATGAAAGAACTCACTTTTCTTTCTATACTGGAGCAGTTTTCGGTATATTTATTTACTTGTAGGCCGCGTTCGGTGATTACAAAAACACAACAAAGTGGCACAAGGTATACCAGGATTTTGCGAAAACTGACTACCTTGTGTTTTTGTACCGTTTTATGTTTTTCTATTCATTGATTAATGTTTGCAACTCGTTTGCGTCCGGCCAGACAAAGAAAATGACGGAATTTCGTGGGAGTTCATATCTGTGCTTGATTACGGTCTTTCTTTTCGGTGCAGTAAAACAAACTACGACTGCACAAGTTTATTTCTATGGCACAACCATAAGATCTTTTCAAAATAGAATTTTGTCAACTTAGTGCGCTCTTCTTTTCCCGAAAATAATACGTTTTCTTAGACTTGTGTTTACGTCAATTTCATGGAGGCAAAACAACATTATCCGCTCTCTGAAACGACATAGTCAAAGCCTTCCTAGTTTATATTAATCTTCTTTTGTGGTACAACATACCTAAACAAGGCGTTTTGTTTCCCAGCGTTTAGTAGCGTAGGGAATTCTTTCGGTAGCAAGAAACGTTCGATTTGGCGGGCATTGACTCACTTTTTCATTCAATAAATTGTTTTGAACTGAACTCTTTTCTAGTAAAAAACATTCTGCCCGTCAAATTCATTCAGTGAAACAAATAAACAACCTCAAATATGCGTTAAACCGCCTACTCAAATTTGATCTTCACATTTCATCAAGTAAACAATTCAGTGCAATTCAGAAGGGTAGTTGGCGAGTGTACGTAGGCTTTGGATAAATTTGCGTCGGGCAAGTACATTTATAAGGCAATGGGGTACAAGTTGAAATCCGTTCGTCTTTTCGTACAAGACAAGCGGTTGACGCCTCCACTCACTTTCCTTTCATACACTAGTTTCAACGTCCAGAATTATGTTAGACGCAGATGAAGTTCTATCTGCTAGTGTTTACGAATAACGCGTACATGATGATACCTCTGGTGATGGATATGAGCAAGAATCCGAAATGTCGGACGAAGAAAGTTCTTGTTCCAGCGACCACATCTACTTCTATTCAGCGTTTAGCGTTTTGTACTGTTGCTATGACTTCTTGCCAGATCGTCGTGAAACAACGGCCGAGGTTATTATTTGCCGCATGCCTCAGCTCCGACAGCCTGCTTAGTTCGCAGCGAACCTAGCTCGAAAGTAGGTTCCTCTAGCTGCCCTTCTTGAACGCGCCGGATAATTAGAAACTGAAGAATTACATATGCTTTGTTTATCTGGCGTCATTTTGTTTCGGATATCCTCACAGTACCAAAACTTTCGCAAACGCGAATTTCTTAACAAAACGCTGGCAATGAATTAACAAGAAAAAACATTTTCGAGACTACTTGCATATTAGGCTTAAAGTTAATAGACAAGGTATGGAGAGACAGGACTTCTTCGTAACGTTTTTTCTCCATTGTGGATCGTAAATGTTATTATAGTTCAAGTATTTGGCACTTTTTCTGCTTGTATCCAAACCATTTTTCATTTGTACCTTCACCTGAAAGACTTTGAAGTTTTGATGGCTGGATGCCGACACTGGCTTAACCACCAGGTCCCCCTACAATAAAACAGGAAGTTGGATCTCTCAGAGGTAGCTTCCCAATGGGAATAGCCTTTTAATTATCTGTCACCATTCTTCCTTTGTCCCCCAGGTTATTGTACCTTTCAAATAGTATTGATACTAATTACTAGGGACAGCGATAAAGAACGCACCTGTGTTGTTATAATTAGAGTTTTCAGGTAAAAAACCTTTTCAGAATAGTGGTTTATTCAACTCGTAAGAAAGCAGGTGAGACGCAGACTTAAAACATTGTTCCGTGTTAGGAAGGTGGACGAGCCTAACGGGGAAACTTACATGGCGCATGTTTCTTCGCCTGAATAACTCCAGTTTCTAACTACTTGACTGCTGAGAAGAGGGCCTATTAAACAGCGAGAGTGGGGAGTGGGGGAGAGAGGGAGATAGGAGCAAGTTTGGAAATCCTGAATGCAAGTGTAACAGGATGTTGAGTTTAGAATTATTACAAAATTGGAAGTTAACAAAAACGCGATTGGTATCCTTACGTCAAGTATACATTTTTAAGCAGGTGTAATTTTTTACCAAACCTTTACTAGAAGGACTATTTTTGTGTGTGTTTTCTATAAAATACATTCGAATGAATAGGGTCATTCAAATTCAATAGGACGAGTTCACACTACTTAAGCAGTCACCTTTTGTAGTGCAATTTGTGCAGACTGTCTGCAATACGTTCGCACAAATGCCAGCATCCCGACATGACCAACATTTCTAGTGATTTCTACCAGAAGCGTTCAGGTGAGTTCCAGAAGGCAGTTCAGATGGAAAAGATGCGTTAGCTGAAACAAGCGGCTTTTTGATCGGGCGTCTCGAATTTCCGCTCGAACCTATCGCAGACAAGTTTGATCGATGCACAGGGTAGTGACCACGCTGCCACATTTATTAGCAGCTCCCGTGCTCATCGCTTGGGACCGTGAGTGATACGACTATGGTGTGGTAGTCCCCTTCCGAGTCGTTAATTCTCGCGATGTCATCATCTTCCGTGTGGATTTACGCTGCTGTCATCGAAATTATTGATGGCCTGCGCCCTCTCCAAGTGGCTGATACCCTTCTCAGAAGAGAATCTGGGAACGAAAAGTCATTGCGCATGAGAACTATGCTTCGAGCGGATAGCGACTGGCGGTTCCCGCGGGTGTCGCCTCTTTCGGCCCCGTTATATTTAAAAATATGGCCGAGTCCCGTCAAGTGTGTTTCGATCCCAGAGCTAACGTCTTTCCTCTTCCTCACTATCGCTGCATGCTTGGCTATTCGCGTCCTGAATTATCAGCCGGTTTCTCCGACGGAGTAAGTGAGCATGTTGCACAATAGTTAATATTATGGCCCTAATTAAGTAACATGGCTTGCATGAAAGCATATTTTAAAATTTCAGTTAAATTTCTACGATATCGAAAGCCCACCGTTACTTGCTAGCATTACCAAAATGCTTCAAAGCACCAGAGGGCCTGGAGAGATTATGCGCCAGCCGGATAAGAATGACGCTTGAAAGCAGGACGTTCTTGGGAAGGATTTCAAGTAGCTCAACTTTAAAGCACACACCGAGTTTACTTTTGGTTAGTTGGGAGATCGTTTTCGAGTTCATTTTTTGCGGGCTGGCCACTCCGATTTATGTTCCTGCTGTGTCTGTTTTTTGAATTTCGTACGCTTTTGC